CGGAAGAGCCACGTACCTATCAATTGTAGCAGCACCCTTCCCTTGTTTGATCAAAGGCACTGCCCACTCAACCATGTTGGGTGGAGTATAATCCCTATCATAAGCCTTCCTCCCACTCAGAATCTCTAGCAACACAATCCCAAAATTGTAAACATCGCTTTCTAGGTCCCCATTGAGGTCTTTGTCACTAGAAGCAAGTAGTCCAAAGTCAGAAATTCTTGCTCCCCACTCAGAATCCAAAAGAATGTTTGAACTCTTGAGATCCTTGTGCACAATAGGAGGCACCAGTTCCTTGTGAAGGTACTCAAGACCCTTTGCAGCCTGCAGCGCAATCTTCAGCCTTAGGCTCCAATTAAGCGGCGAAAGGCCACCATGGAGGTGATCATAGAGCGTCCCATGAGGCATGTACTCATAAACAAGCAACCTCTCCCCCATCTCAGCACAATACCCCAACAAGTTAACAACATTACAGTGGCGAATTTTGCAGAGAATTTCCAGCTCCGTTTCGAAATCGCGGTTGTTGGTGTGGATAATAGTAGCAGCGTTGGCTCTTTTCACAGCAACAACTCTCCCATCAGCCAACAAAGCCTTGTACACAAACCCATAACTCCCTCTCCCAAGCTCGTTGAACTCCTTAAATCCATTAGTAGCATCCTTCAGTTCAGAAAGCCTGAAAACTTGAGGCGCCCCGGGACAAGAAGCAACAGAAGGAGTAGAGTTAAGAGCAACATTGGCATGATCATCCTCCTGCTCCGGATTCCCCATGCAAGACTTGGATTGCTTCTGTGTCCCCTTTCTAACCATACAAAGACACCCACAAAGCAAAATAACCGAAACCCCCAACACTGAAGACCCAACTATCACCACCAATCTAGGCAAATGATGCCAATGCCAACGCATATGCAACCCCGTTGACTTGTTAAGTCCACAAACACCAAAACAAGAGCTGTTCTGACAAAGAGAACAAGCAGTGCAAACTCTATCAGCATTCCTAGTACATTCACTAGACAAGAAAAACCCTTTGGAACAATTCGACCCACAAGGCGAACAAATCCTCAAATCCTCTCGAACACAAAGGCTCGTCAAAGCAATCTCGTTAAGCACACTCACATTGAAAGCAAACTCACCAGCCCCACAAGAACTAGCCCTGCACAAACCAGGACTAGAAAGCTCCAAAGGAGGATCAAAATCAGGTTTTGAAGCATTCACCAACCAACAATCCAACAGAAGATCATCCTCCCTGATCCCGCACGTGGTGAAATCCGAAGAAGCAATAGCCATGAAACCATTTCCTTTCGGAACCACCGAGGAATTCAAATCACCCCAACACTCCACTTCGTGGCTATCCATTCTAACTCCACAAAAGTGCCTAGCCCCAGCCGATAGAGAAACCAACGGAACCTGAACCGGAGGATCCAAAAACGAACCCGGGTCGCCCCAGCACTTCAACTCGCCGGAAAAGTTGAAAACGCCGCACACGGCGCTCCGACTCGCCGCCAAGGCCGCGAAACCATTGGAAACATTTGAAACACCCAAATTCCTCGAAGTGGGTCCCCAACAGGTAAGTCCACTATCTTTGACTTCACCGCAGGTGAACCCCTCGCCGGAAACAACCGTCTTCACTTCAAGCTTCGTCACTGACAGGTCCAAAAACAAGTCACTATGCATCGCCTCTAACGTGCCGTTTTCGGTTTTCCTGATTTCCCAGCAATCCACGGCGCCGGAATCGCGATCGGCGTAGTAGTACCCCTGGACGGCGCACACGTGGCGGTTTCCGGCGGCGATGCGGGAGTAGGCGGTGTTCCGGTACGCCGGCGGCACGAGAACAAGATCTGCGCTGGGTTTCGTGGTAGCGCCCCAGCAATAAGGCTGCGAGGTGTTGGCCAAAATCCCGCAGAGAAAGCCGTCCCCGCCGGAGAGCGCTGCCATGGCGGGGAGGGCGGCGGAGACGGCGGATAACGACGGCGAGGTGGCGTTGTTCCCCCAACATATGACGTCTTGCTTGCCGCTGGCGTCGATGGCGCAGAAAACCTGGCTGTCCCCGAAGGAGGCGGAGATTGGGCCCATGGCACCGAAGCCGTGCACCGCGGCGCAGAGGAACATGAGAAATGAAAAGAGTGAGAGAGTTTGCGATTGCATGGTTGGGTTTGGAACAGTGTCATGGAGTCGGCGTTGGGAGCATGATTATGACAGTGTTTGTAATCTGTGTTTGTGAAGTGAGAAAAGTGTGATGAGTGTTGATGACGATGAAACAACGTGGGTGTCGCCATTTTTACAGCTTCAGTTCCTGACCGTTACTACCGAACTCGGATACTTACTTTCATCCTTCCTTTTACTATTATTTGCTTCTGTTGCCCTTTGCCCTTTACTATAAAAGTTTTTTCATTTCTTTATTTATTATTTACCATCTTACTGGAACATTAATTAAATACCACTCCTCCTCCTAAATTTCATCTGCAATATTTTTATAAATGGAAGATAAAAAAAAGTCTAAATTTTCCCTTAACTTTTTTTTTCTTTCAAGTTTATTTTATAAATCCTTTTAAGTTTTCGTTGGCTATGAAATTAAAATAATGTATTGTTTATTATTTTCCTTTTTTCTATACAGTACCAAAAAATAATGTAAAATTAAATTGGAAAAAAAGTGATATTAATAGTAAATTTGGTTCCTCAATTTTTAGATTTAACTCTAACATTCAAGTATCAACATAATGTAATATGATTGAAAATTAGTCATGTTCTTTTAAGTACATATTCAAGTGTTCGATTATCATATTAATGTGCATAGAAAAATACTATATCCAGAGAAGTTAGTATATATGTTATCATATAATTTTCTATCATACAATAATTCTCTACCAATTATTTTATGTAACTCTCATTATATCAAAATCAAACTATACTAAATAAAATAAATAGTTGAAAAACGCTTGTAGTAAAATTGTACACACAAAAATAATTCAGTATTTGATTAACAATTCCCAAATTTAGAAAAGAAAAGAAATAGAAATATAGTTCTCACAATTAAACAAATTTCACCGCATTATTTTTCACAAGAAATCTCTTGTTTGAAAAATCAAGGAAAAAAATCAAATCAAGTGAGAAATTTAAATGATAATTATTAATTTGATCTTATTATAAATTATCAATATTAAAATGCACAAGTTATGAGAATAGTGTTTAATAGAAAAATTATCATGTAATCTCAGAGCAATGAAGTATTTATGATTTTAACCAATTTTCATATAATATATATTTAAAAATTTTGATTCACAATTAATAATTATTAAAATTTGATTGTCATATGAAAATTGATAAAGACCATAATGGTCTCAAAACAGTTAATAATTAATATCTTACTAACATGATATTATCATATAAAAATTAACATCCATATCTCTCACAAACACATATATAATTTAAAATTTTGAAAAAATTATGAGCATCATCACCACAAAGATACACCATTATTTATAAATTATTTATATTAAGAACTTGATTGATCGATTTTATTAAAGTTTTTTATTATATTTTTTATTTATAAAATTTAAATTTGAGACTTTATTTAAAAAAAATTGTCAAATTCAATTCAATTCTACTTGACCAACCTTACATTATAGAAATTTGTTAGTATATACAAACTTTACCACTTGGAATCAAATGTGACCACACAAACCTCAAATAAATTTACATTTTTTAACAAAATATTTTTGATACACACACCTATAAATAAGAATGGATGACATTTATATTTAAGTAATGCATTATGTACTAATTATGGGAGATCTGGATGGTGGGTTGTGTTTAGGGAGTTAGGAAAGTACCATGGGTATATAAACATTGGCTTCCCCGAAAAGGTAAATGATAAAATATTGTCTTTGTCTGAATGAAGTGGGTCGAGTATCTAAAAGAGATTTTATTTGTAGCCTGAAAATGGGCCCTGTGGACAGCAACAAAGAGCCGAAGAAAGTGGCGTGGCTGAGTCTGAATGTCCACTACGGAATCAACACCACAAGACACCCAACTTACATATCCATCTCAATATATCTATGCCTTCTTACGTAACTCAATTATCTACCACTTTTTACGTAATTCTCCACTTCAATGCGTTAAGCCCAATCAACGTAAAAGAAATTACCCACAACTTGAATTAAGATATGTCAATTGTCAAAAAATCTCTCTCTCACTTCTTTTTTCTTCTCACCATAGGTATTTAAACAACTAATCTAAAGACTATCACTATCTATTAAGAATATATTAGTTCACATCATACATTATATATATATATATATATATATATATATATATATATATATATATTATATATTTTTTCTAAAATTTACA